GGCGCTGGTCACGGGCTGCCGGGAGAGCAGGCCCCTTCCCAGGTGGAAAGCAGCCAGGGTTTTCGGAGATGGGGGGAACTGGGGTGACTGGACGCCTCCCGAGCCTTCTGGGGTGAAGGCTTCGCCTCCTGCACTGAACGCCCGCGAAACGGTCCGGTGCTCGCGTGCGGACGCGGCCGGGCGGCGGCGAGTCTCGGGTTCTCGTAGCGCCTGTTTTAATTAAGCACGTCAGCGTTTTCCTATGAAGTTCTTAGCTTTGCAGGAGTCGTAGCTCAGGTTTTCATTGGCATGCAGATGCATCTTTGGAGGAGTGTTTTTTGCTTAATTAAAAGGAGTTAGGAAATGCTTTTGGCTGTGCGCTCGTAGGGGTGGGTGGGACAGAACAGTCTGTTTCCTGGCGGCGGCGCTTCCCCTCTGAAAACATTTTCAAAGTGCATTTTTTGCACAGGACCACTGCGGCTTTCCCCCGCCCCCTAGTTTGTGTGAAAGATTTTTTCAAACTGCAGGTGAGGAAGAGGGAAAAGCTTTCAAGTGGCCTTGACCCTCTGCATAGGCGGTTATTAAGATAACAGGACGGGGTCTGCTGCTGAGACTGATGCCGGAGGAAGCGTTTTTGGCGAGCGGATCAGCTCTGGCGATGCAGCCCGACGTCTAGAGCCGCCTTCGCTAAACAAAAGCGAAACCGGCCCCGAGCGGGGGCAGCGAGGTTTGTCGCTGCCGGGTCAGGCTGAGCCCCCAGCCCTGCGTCACGGCCGAGCCCGGCCGCCCTCCGCCTCTGGCCCTGACGTCTTTGAGGTCTCCTTTCCAGGCTGCGGTGGGAACTCCCTGCTGACGGCTGACAGCCCCGTCAGCCTCGGGACTTCCCCGCGGCTCCGGGGCGGGCAGAGGCGATGCCAGCAGATGCTCTTTGCAAACGCTTGCTTGGGTGGGTGGCCCTGGGGCAGAGACCTGGCTCCGGCTGCCCGGGAAGCTGCGGTGTTGCCGTGGTCGGGGGGAAGGACCTGCTGATGGTGGAGCTCCCTGGTGTGAGCTTAAAAAGGATCTAAATAGCTTTTATAGTGGTGGCACTGCAGCTGCAGGTGGGGTTTCGTACCGGGGCTGTCGTCTGCAGTTTCATCACGGCAACGAAAGTTCAGGATAGCGTAGTCCTTTATGGAAGCTAGAAGGTCTCAAGAGAAGGACAGAGGGAGAAGAGCATCAGCAAGTGGAAAGGGCAGCCCCGCTCTCCCCGGCTCTTGGGCAGGAGGAGCAAAGCAGGGGCAGAGCAGTCAAAACCCCCGTTCACACGTAGCGGCTGTGTGGCTCGGCGGTGTCAGCCCACCGTCTCGCTGGAAATTCCAGTGAGGACCATGCAGAGCATGAAACCAAGATGTGGCCACCACCGTGGAAGTCCTTTTTGGTCTTTGCTCTCTTCTCTCACTGTCTGGGAGCTCGGGGACGGCTCGGGCCTGCTGTCAGCTGTGGGTGTTCGAAGGCCAGGAATGTCCCACGTCCCCTCCGTCCTCCTTATTGTAACTCGTGGGCCTGGCTCGCCTCTGTCACTGCAGGTCGTGGGCAGCATGGACCCCCCCCCCAGCCGGTACTGTGCCACGGTGCGCGTGCAGCGTCCTCGCCAGGAAATCATCGAGGACTTGTCCTACATGGTGAGGGAGCTTCTCATCCAGTTCTACAAATCCACTCGCTTCAAACCTACCAGGATCATCTTCTACCGCGACGGCGTTCCCGAGGGGCAGCTCCCGCAGGTGAGGAACCCCTGGGCGCCGTGCTGGGCCGGCAGAGCCGACCTGCCTCTGGCTAGAGGGAAGGGGCTTTAAGGCCTGGGTTTGCCTTGCTGGCATTTGTGCTGTTTGAGGTTGTTGGGTTTGCTGAAAGGCTTTGTGCACACTGGAGGCATTGGGCTAATTCTGCTGGCGGGAGCTGGGCCAAAGGCTTGCAACTCTGGGGGTGCTGGGCATCTGGGAGTCCACTCGGGATGTGCAGGGCAGCCTGCGGCCACCAAGCAGCTTGGGACAACGGGTGTTTTGCTCTCCTCTTTTTCCACTTGTGTTTGGGTATAGACCGTGCCGAGGCAGCTTTTCCAGGAGGGCTCGCAGGGGAGAGGATTAGGTCTCTTGCTCCTGCCACTGCCTAAACCTGCGTCGGCTCCTGCGGGTGCCCTACGGGTGCATGAGAGCAGCTGGGCGTGGGAGCCAGCCCGTGCGTTGCCTCACTCTGCGCGCGGTTGTGTCTCTAGATCCTTCACTATGAGCTCTTGGCAATCCGAGACGCCTGCATCAAACTGGAAAAGGATTACCAGCCTGGCATCACTTACATCGTTGTCCAGAAAAGGCATCACACCCGCCTCTTCTGCGCGGACAAGAACGAGCGGGTGAGCGCTGCGGAGCGCCGGGGGCCGGCGGTGTCCGATTCGTCGCTGGCATTAACGCAGAGCCAGCCCGGAGCTGCGCAGGGTGGAAAGCGCCCTGCTGGCAGGCAGAGCCCTCTTCCCTGCCTGAAACACGCTGCTAAGCTGACTCTTGCATCTGTGCCGATTAGGCTGCTTCAAGAAATCCAGGCAGCTGTTTGCTGTTGTTATGAGTTACTGGGTGCAGATGATCCTGGTGACTCTCTTGAAACGGCCTCTGTCAGCTTGAAAACATCTGTTGTTTTGGTGATTGCTGTAGCTGCTGACATTGGGGCAGGAGGAATAACCCCATGCTTGCTCACAGCTTGTTCACATCTTGTGCTGTGCAAGCAGAAGTCCAAAAAACAGGACTTGCGGTGGGCTGTTCTGCCTTGCAGGTGTATATGCTATTGAGGGCGTGAATCGAGCAATTGTGAGTTTGGGAGGAGAGTGTTACCTGTGCAACAAAAGCACCGAGTAACTCATTGATTGCTATAACTTTTCCTAGATTTGATCTAAATTTAATTTTGATCTAATCTGACCAGACTCTGCCTCTACCTGATCATGAGGATTTAACCTTGGGACTGAGAACAGGTTTTGATCTTGGCATAAGAGCCGTGATACCTTACGGCAGAAGCTCTAGCGTAAACTGTCTGCAGAGATCCCTGGACTTTTTGCCCACTTAATCATCGTTCCTGCAGCAGGATGGGCCGGTGCCCAGCCTTCAGCCTGCCTGCTTCCCCTTAGCTGTAGGTTGCTCTGTTTGAGTGTCGTGCCTGGTGTTGATGCTGGCAGGAAATGCCAGCAAGCCTGTTTGGGCAGAGGGCAGAGCAGGGAGAGGTGCTTCTGCTCCCCACTTAATAGGCGCTTGTGGAACTGCTCGGCACGGTGCTCCCAAACTGGAAATAACCCAACACTGTGGTGCTTGGATCTCTTTTTATTCCCTGCAGATTGGGAAGAGTGGGAACATCCCAGCGGGAACAACAGTAGATACAAATATCACCCACCCTTTTGAGTTTGACTTCTACCTGTGCAGTCATGCAGGCATTCAGGTACCGTGCTCCAAGCTGATGATGTGATCCTGCCGTTTTTCCTCTGTTGTGGTTGTGAACTGCGTTCTCGCACGTGAGACGGGGCCCTTCCTGCCGCCTCCCTTGGGGAAGGCGAAGGCTGGCCCTGGAGACGTGGGCAGCTCTGTCCGAGCGGCCGTTGCAGCGCCTGGGGGAGCAGGTGCCAGGATGGCACAGCCGCTGCGGTACATGGCACCTACTTACTCTCCCTCCTGGAGCCGAGGATCTCTTGGAGAATTTCCTCCTTTGGAGAGGCCAAATCAGCAGCTTGTCAGCTGGCGTCTCGTGCTGGGCTCGCGGTGCTCCTGCTCGTCAGACGGGATCCGTGGTCTGGCTGCGGGTGGAGAGTTGGGGACAGCCGGCCGGAGCAGGCGGGTTGCTTTGCAGCTGCCTTCCTTCAGGCAGCCAAGATTAGTCAGAAGCTGCACTGAAAAAAATTGTGGCTTGAATCACTTGATTTATAGCTGCTTCCGCAAGGGAGGCTTTTTGGCTTCCTCTCTGCCTGCAAGGACAGCGCGGAGCTGGCCCGGTTCAGGGGGAGCCGCGGGGGAGCCCGGCTCGGTGCAGCAGGGAGGCGGTGCGCTGCGCCGGTCGGCAGGTCGCTGCTGCTCGCTCCCCGGGGCGTCTGGCAACGGGGCGGCTGGGCAGCCGCTTTAGCACTGGGTTGCCCC